TTAATTCTCAAGATAGGTTTTTTCTCTCTTGTTTGTTTTTATGTTATGGAGTTTATTGTTTATTGTCTGGGGAAATGTTACATAGGAAAATTTCTACTTCGGCCTAGTATTTTTGGATCATGGTCAATTGAATTGCCCTCTTGCTATGCCTTGTGTGTATTGTATGTGCTTTTCCTGATGTCAGCATAATGACCTGATTTAGTATTTCTTTTTTAACCTAGGATGGAGAGAACTGTCGTGTACTATGCTGCATGAATGGTCACATTGACATCGTCCGTCTTCTGGTAGAGGCTAATGCTGACCTAAACCTACCACATAAGGTAATGAAAAGTACTGAAGTGCAAAACCATCGGCGCACTGCGCATGCACGGTGCTGCTAATGATGGGCTTGGCTATGATTACTCGTTGTTTCCCACTACTAGCTCACGGAGAGTCTGACACGGGCTTGCTACACTAGTAGATAGTGTGCATGAGTCGATACAAGACCTTCGCTGTGACTTTTTGTTCCCCCAAGGTATACAGGGCAAGTTGATCTGGTCGAGGTAAATTACTTGTTCACTTGCTTTTCATGCCATAACTTTCGAGCGCAGTGCTTTTACGAAAATCTCCATTTTTAATATCAAGCCAGTGTAGCAATGAACCTGTTAGTATCGTTACTTTGTTGTCTCGTTGCGTGTGGTAGCAGAAGACGTAGTAACAGACAGACAGACGGACGGTAGGATAGACATACGAAACTACAGGTACTGTAACCCTCGCTGGACATGCGCGCCAAGGGTTAATAAAGTTACATTGCTACTTTTTACAGTGCTCAATGGTAACAAATTGCAGTCTTCTCTCTGTTTTGCTCAATTGTTTTCTGGGGCTATGCTCGCTCACGGCTCCATAGTATGATATGTGGGAGAAAACTTCTGGTCGCATTATAAACACAGTGTTAAAATAAACATCATATTTGTGGATGGCCCGTCACACATTTATAGACAATCATACCTCAGTAACTTGCTCACTAGACAGTTTTATAATAATTATATAGACTATTTTAGCCTACATAACCTCTTCTTAATAATCCAGCCACCAGCCAGATTGTGTTAAGCTGTAGCCATTCTTCAGAATAGTTACCGTAGGTTATCAGGTTTAGCTGAAGGCATTAGAAACTGCTGTCACAATTTTAAGTCTATACTCACAAGAGTTGATTCTGGGAGAGACTGGCCCACGAAGCTCTTAGCTACCGTTTTGTAGAGATTTAGCAGTACTTCAGTCTGCACACATGTACATAGTCATGGGGAGCTATAACCTCTGCCTGGGCTACATTCTGTCATTTTCCCCTCCTGTCCAGGATGGTTTTACTCCACTCTATGTTGCCTGTCAAGGTGGGCACAAGCTAATAGTTGACATTCTGTTGAAGAATGGAGCCAATGTGAATCTCACACGACAGTAAGTGTTTTGGTAGTAATATGTGGTTGTACTATAGCTCCTTACTAGTAATAATATTTGTGTCACTCTCTTAGTCCATTATTACTCATCTACACAGTATTCTTGCTAATAAAAGGGAATACAAATACAGCATAATAGCAGCTTCTGTATAGTCAGAACTCCTGATGGGTGAATTAGCATTATAATTATAATTATTATGCTCTTTCCTCATTATAACAAGTGGGCATACCTGGCAGCAGTTGGATGACATTCTGTTGTCTGCTCTAGTGTTAGCCCTTTATGATAGTCAAAAAGCAAAGGGAAATTGAACAATGTTGGTTTTCCCTGTTCTCGTTCTATTCTAGGTCTGCGTTAACATCTTGAGGATTTTGATGGTGGTTAGAATAAAGGATTGAGTTTCATGAAATATTTCAATACTATCAACCATAGGACATAACTCGTGTACACATGAATATATCTTGCTAAGTGCAATGAATAAGAGTGGTAGTTATTGTCACTCTCTGTATCT